GAAACCTGTCCTTCGGCGCTTCCAAAAATACCAGCATACGAGCAAAATAACAATGACAGCAGCCATTGATCCAACAATATAATACCACACCAGGGATGGACTCCTCGCAGCTGTTGGTATAAGGTAAACACAAGGTCATTAGCCAAATGACAAAGCTAGCACATGTGATCATGATAATGGAAAGGTTTTTACTCAGTATTACCCATCCTCCCTGGATTCTGTCTTTTGCTAGAGTTTCTCTGGCTCATTTTTATCAGTACTGGCTCATTTACTATTTCATGGCAGACATTCCAAGAAAGGTTAATCAAAACTATGGTGTAGAAAAAATAACAAAATAACCATAAAGTGAAGTCTGTTAACAAGCAAAGTGGCCTATCAAGCCGGCGCTTAACTCTGGTTTCAGTAGCATGAAGCTCTCAGGAGTATTTCTACTCCCTCCTGCTAGTCCATTGCAGGGTTACCGCCCATAATAGTGACAAATAACCTGCTTTTTTGCAAACTGGATGAAGAACAATTCCCATTACCCAGTAGGAAACAGATAATCATGATGATACTGCAAACGATTATACCGGTATCTAAAATTAGGTTCTACTGCATGTAAGAGGCTAAGGACCCAAATCTTCATTCGAAACTCATACTTACCATAAAAAACAATAACAACCACAACAATGGAAAAAAAAAGCAGCCAACAGCATGATTAAAGCAAAGCAAAACTTTCAGGTTACATTTAAGTTGAAATATTCTTTGATGTTAAATAATAAATTGTTTTTAGGACACTACAATAATGCCAGCTTACAGTTGACATTTATTGTTACATTCGAGCTGGCCACATTTCCTAGTCTCTTACGAGCTTCACAGGAATATACACCACTGTCCTCCTCCACAACCTTTGCAATATGCAGGTAACCTTTTTTCTCTTCAAATTGCGTAAAGATGTCCTCTCTCTTCTTTATTTCCTCTCCATCTTTTTTCCAAGTGATATTTACTGTTGCTTTGTTGACAATGCAAGTTAACCTAAGCTCATCACCTGAAGTGAGGGTTGGATATGGTTTTGGACTCAATTCCACAGTTGGTTTTTCTGTGTAGAAAAAGAGATAATGTGCATGTATACGAATCTTGATTTTTTATGGAAAAAAAAATACGTTACTCTCAGTACCTTAGTAAGGCAATTATCATGGACACGAAGCAATCCAAAAGTGACCCCCTAAACAGAATTTCCAGGATGCTTCTAAGTAACCCCAGACCCAGCCCTTTGTTGCTATAAATAGTCTCATGACATGTAATGTGCCATTCAATGTTACAAATCGTTGTACTGATAAAAGTCTATTGGATTAAAATTATCACAGTGACCATGACAAACGGTCAAAGTGATCATATAAAAAAGTTATCTCAAACAATTGTTTAATAGCGTCTGCGTAACAACTAAGCTTCCCACAACTCATCACAGTATTTTTCCCAGATACCTTCCACCCAAGTTAGTATTTCAACTCTTTGACTCAATTTTCTTGGAGAATTTCCAGGGGTATCAAGACTCTATCTCAAAACAATTATTATAAGAATCAGTGTTAACACACTGTCAGTTATTTTTGGTCAACCTTCAGACCAGCCAACATTTACACCTCATGTTTTACCTATTAGCAGGGAAGATAACATCAAAGAAGAAAGAATTGTATACTATTATTGTTAAAGGGGATCCATCACCATCATTACCCTAATGGCTATTAAGTTTCAATAGCTACTGTTACCATTATTAAACTCATCATCATCATCACTGTCACTAGTATCACTATCATCATTATCATTATTATCATTATTATCATTCGACCTACCAAAAACTTGAAGTGTTGCAAAAGAACTTGTTGTATTAGCTTTGTTTTCTGCTGTGCACTCGTATGTTCCTTCCATTTCTTTTGTTGTTTGCAGCATTTCTAGGAATGATTCCACAAATAAGTCTCGCTCAAAATTGCTTTGATTAATACCCGATTGGAGTTTACCGCTATTAAATGTCCACATTACTTTTGGTGTTGGAACACCTGAGGCACGGCAAGTAAAGCTGACAGGGTCTCCAACAATAACAGATTGGTTTACCGGAGACAATAAAATCCGAGGAGACACTGAAAATAAAAAGAAGACCATGATCTTCAACCAAGGTTCTTAAGACGAATAACAATAATAATTCATTATTAATGAAATCAGTGGTTTACTCAGAATTCTTTATGCCATGAAGTTCAACGGTTTATGGTAGATTACAAATCAGAAACAGTAAAAACATGCCAATAGTAACCAAAATGTTTTTTTTTCTTCTGCAAACCGAGATGATATTAATACCTACCTAATAGCAAAATTGGAGAGAACAATTGGAATATGGAGTGAAATAAAAGTAAGCAGAAACTAGTCCAATTTTTGCTTCTGACACAACTATTGTCTGGAAAAGTTACTAAGAACAAGATATGAAGAATGAGTCTTACCTGTCCTTCGGCACTTCCAAAAATACCAGCATACGAGTAAAATAACAATGACAGCAGCCATTGATCCAACAATATAGTACCACACCAGGGATGGACTCCTCGCAGCTGTTGGTATAAGGTAAACACATGGTCATTGGCCAAATGACAAAGCTAGCACATGTGATCATGATAATGGAAAGGTTTTTACTCAGTATTACCCATCCTCCCTGGATTCTGTCTTTTGGTAGAGTTTCTCTGGCTCATTTTTATCAGTATTGGCTCATTTACTATTTTATGGCAGACACTCCAAGAAAGGTTAATCAAAACTATGTTGTAGAAAAAATAGCAAAATAACCGTAAAGTGAAGTCTGTTAACAATCAAAGTGGCCCATCAGGCCGGCGCTTAACTCTGTTTTCCGTAGTATGAAGCTCCCAGGAGTATTTCTACTCCCTCCTGCTGGTCCATTGCAGGGTTACCCCCCATAATAGTGACAAATAACCTGCTTTTTTGCAAACTGGATGAAGAACAATTCCCATTACCCAGTAGGAAACAGATAATCATGATGATACTGCAAACAATTATACCGGTATCTAAAATTAGGTTCTACTGCATGTAAAAGGCTAAGGACCCAAATCTTCATTCGAAACTCATACTTACCATAAAAAACAATAACAACCACAACAATGGAAAAAAAAAAAGCAGCCAACAGCATGATTAAAGCAATGCAAAGCTTTCAGGTTACATTTACGTTGAAATATTCTTTGCTGTTAAATAATAGATTGTTTTTAGGACACTACAATAATGCCAGCTTACAGTTGACATTTATTGTTACATTGGAGCGGGCCACATTTCCTAGTCTGTTACGAGCTTCACAGGAATATATACCACTGTCCTCCTCCACAACCTTTGCAATATGCAGGTAACCTTTTTTCTCTTCAAATTGTGTAAAGATGTCCTCTCTCTTCTTCATTTCGTCTCCATCTTTTTTCCAAGTGATATTTACTGTTGCTTTGTTGACAATGCAAGTTAACCTCAGCTCATCACCTGAAGTGAGGGTTGGATATGGTTTTGGACTCAATTCCACAGTTGGTTTTTCTGTGTAGAAAAAGAGATAATGTACATGTATACGAATCTTGATTTTTCATGAAAAAAAAAATACGTTACTCTCAGTACCTTAGTAAGGCAATTATCATGGACACGAAGCAATCCAAAAGCGACCCCCTAAACAGAATTTCCAAGATGCTTCTAAGTAACCCCAGACCCAGCCCTTTGTTGCTATAAAATAGTCTCATAACATGTAATGTGCCATTCAATGTTACAAATCGTTGTACTGATAAAAGTCTATTGGATTAAAATTATCACAGTGACTATGACAAACGGTCAAAGTGATCATATAAAAAAGTTATCTCAAACAATTGTTTAATGGCGTCTGCGCAACAACTATGCTTCCCACAACTCATTACAATATTTTTCCCAGATACCTTACACCCAAGTTAGTATTTCAACTCTTTGACTCAAATTTTCTTGGAGAATTTCCAGGGGTATTAAGACTCTATCTCAAAACAATTATTACAAGAATCAGTCTTACCACACTGTCAGTTATTTTTTGTCAACCTTCAACACCAAAATGCCAACATTTACACCTCATGTTTTATCCATTAGCAGGGAAAATAACATCAAAGAAGAAAGAATTGTATACTATTATTGTTAAAGGGGATCCATCATCATCATTACCCTAATGGCTATTAAGTTTCAATCGCTACTGTTACCATTATTAAACTCATCATCATCATCACTGTCACTAGTATCACTATCATTATTATCATTATTATCATTCAACCTACCAAAAACTTGAAGTGTTGCGGAAGAACTTGCTGTATTAGCTTTGTTTTCTGCTGTACACTTGTATGTTCCTTCCATTTCTTTTGTTGTTTGCAGCATTTCTAGGAATGATTCCACGAATACGTCTCGCTCAAAATTGCTTTGATTAATACCCGATTCGAGTTTATCGCTATTAAATGTCCACATTACTTTTGGTGTTGGAACACCTGAAGCATGGCAAGTAAAGTTGACAGGGTCTCCAACAATAACAGATTGGTTTACCGGGGACAATAAAATCCGAGGAGACACTGAAAATAAAAAGAAGACCATGATCTTCAACCAAGGTTCTTAAGATACAACCAAATAACCACAAGTAATTTGGCAGTAATTAGATGTAAGAGTAAATTTGGAGTCCCCTAACTACACATATTTACAGAAATTATTAAAGGAATCACCTCCACACAGTGAATGGGAATTAAGGTCAGGAGGATATTATGTACATTTCGAATGAGTGAGCTTCCATCAACCCTGAACGATAGTATGAACATGAAAAGAGTAATTTAGTATATTACAGTGTATGTACATAATACTTTAAATATCATGAAGTGTGAAAATAAAAGTCAAATTTAAAAACAAATGAATAAACTTCGTTTGTAGAAATCCTATTTAAATATCTAGCTTAAACAAAAGCATGTTAAAAAATTACAGGTACTGACTGGTCAGACCACAGCACCGGGGGCTACGTTCCCTTCATGCACTCTTTGTGAGAAGTTCTTGAGTTCTTTTACGTCCCCTTGCTAACCAGTACAGAGAAGATGAGGGAGACAGGGCCTACAGTCTATTGGCCTTATCTGTGAATACTAGAATGTCTAACCATTCGCAAATATCATAGCACACTCAGCACATTCTCCTAGGTTATTTAAAGATCCTCAGTGGTGGTCCGGTCTAAGGTTGAACCCTCAACGTGACGCATGGCAGTTCAGGGCTCTACTTCATGAGCTTACAGAGTGCAGTTTGTAAATATTAATAAAGTTATTTTGATTTACCAGTAACATCAATCCAGAAGTACAAGTTAGCTTTTCCAGCCAGATTTTCAGCAACACATTCATAGAAACCTTCATCATCAAAAGTCACGTGGTTAATAAATAACGTGTTGTTGTTGCCAAGAACTTCTCCATTTCTGGTCCAGTTAACAGATACTGGGGGACTGCCCTTTACAAAACAAGGTGTTGTAAATGTGGAGTTCAAGGTAACTGAACGATTCTTGAGTCCAGAATTTAACTGTGGTGGAACTAGAAAGCAAAATTTAAAAAAGTGACGATGAGATTATCTTCACAGGTTCATTGGTATCTCGAGCTTGGATGTAAACACTGCAAACAAATAACAAGTCAGCAACTTAAAGAATTTCGTTCTGTAGGTGCTATCAATATGTTACGTATGATGCACGATCCTCGCAGTAGATAGCGCTACTTATGCAATAGCGAGAATCAGACCTGAAAAAAATCAGGCCTGTACGGGACTCAAACCACTGACCTCTGCGATACTAGTGCAGCGCTCTACCAATTGAGCTAACAAGCCAACTGGGAGCAGGCCGTTGAGTTGATTCGTAATAAACCCGTGAAAGTGATAAATGAGATAGAATGAATATATGAAGTTCATATATTTTGAACTGCGGTATTAGATACGTATACTGCGAAGATCGTGCATCATACGTATCTAATACCGCAGTTAAAAATATATGAACTTCATATATTCATTCTATCTCAATATGTTACTTAGTTGACTCAAGAGTAAAAAAACCTTTTGTCATATCCATGCCATTTACCTGGGACAGGGCTGTGATCTAGCAGCGCTAGGGGGCCCCTGGCGCCTTACTTTTGCTCTTGGGCGACTTAGGAATTTTAGTTTTTTCATAAAAAGCATATGTTAGGCACCCTGGATTTCACAGTTTCTGTGCACTGGGCTCCCTTCAATTTTTCTCAGAGCATAGCCTTGTGGGGCATTTGACTTTCCATTTATGTAAACATGAAATACAAGTTTCAACTCATTGCCAGAGCAGGGAACATCCAAAATTTGTATTTGTATTTATGAATATTCATACAGGGTGGCCCAGTTTAGCAGATAGCTAGTTTAAATGGGGCCCTGTGAACACCCACCCATCCCACCCCAGGGGAGGACATCCATCACACAGTAATCTCGTGCGTGGGAAATTAACGTCTCCTACCCCTAACCCTGCAGGAGACGGGACCTCCATTTATTTCTTCCTATCCGAGAAAACTAGAATATCTAACCTTTTCTTGATGTTATAGTAAGGTACTAGCATATTCTCAATTATTTTAAGACCTTGAGTGTTGGTTTGGCTGGGGCTCAAACCCTCGACCTCCCACACAACAGTCCAGCCCTCTATCCATTGAGCTAACTGGGAGGCCGTATTTCAAATTAAAATGATGTTCTCATCTTCAAATTTTTTACAAGTTTGTTGTTCTTTTGTAACAGGATCCTTAGGTTTGTCAAAAATATGCCCTAAAGTCTGAAAAAGTTTTTGAACTTTAACCTTGTGGTTATTTAAAAATTTTCTTGATGGGCTCTGTAATACCCCAGATGTAAGGAATAACAGCAAAACCAGTCCCTGGTTCCTTCTCATCATGAGTGTTACTAGTTGCAACTGGTTTCAGGCAGTTACGGAGAAATGTTTTGGTATAGCCATTTGTATTTGAGTATATTGGACAGACCAAACCTCAATTTGGTCTGAAAGAGCATCAGAAAGTGGTCTTCTTTTGCCTAGAAGAAAATTCAGCTTTGTTGGAGCATGTTTGAAAAGACTACTACAAAAGAGCATGTACCATGAAAAATGAATGACATTGAAAGGCAAATGATGGACAACACAATAATGTTAGCTTACGTTTGACAATTATCGTCACAGTGGAGTGGGCCAAAATGCCTGGTTTGTTGCGAGCTTCACAGGAATATTCACCACTGTCCTCCTCCACAACCAATGAAATAGGCAGTGAACTTGTTGTCTCATACAATGTGGTATCAATTACTGCCCTTCCTTTTATTGGGTCTCCATCTTTTTTCCAAGTGATATTTACTGTTGCCTTATTAACAATGCAATTCAATGTGAGCTCTTCACCTGGAGTGAGTATTGGATGTGGATTTGGCCTTATTTGAGAGGTGGGTTTTTCTGTGTTAAAAGAGACAAGTTTCTGTTAAGTCTAAAAAAAAAAACAGCTTCACTCACAACATCTTTAAATAACATATTTATTATGGACACGGAATAATCCAAAAGCAACCCTCTGAATGGCAATTATAAGTTGGTGAAACCTGGCTTCAAAAAATATCTGTTTAAACTCTACATAGGGCCTCCTGATCAAAATGATCAGAGCTCAAATAAAAAAAAAAGTCATACAGAGGTCACCCCAAACAGTTGGTGAATGGCACATGTGCAAAAAATAACCATTCCCTGAATCCATAATTGTACAGGATGCCTTAAACCTAAACATGTAGCTGCTTGCACTGGCTTTCTTGTCTTAGATGATTTCCAAAAGTATGACTGAGAATCAAATGCAAAACAATTATTACAAAAACCAGCCTTAACAGGTTCTCAGTTATTTTCTGTTCCACTTTTAGACTTAAGTCTCCATTTCTGAGTATAATATTTCATGCATCAGCACAAGAGATAAACTCAAGAGAGGAAGGTGTCATAGATTATTGTTACAGTGGATCCATAATTGTTAATATCATAATCATTCTTAAATTCATGATTAAACAATCATTAGCATTTTTATTAAAGAACCTACCAAAAACTTGAAGTGTTACTGAAGAACTTATTTTATCTGCTTTGTTTTCTGCCGTGCACTCATATAGTCCTTCCATTTCCTTTGCTGTGTTTGGCATTTCCAGAAATGATTCCACGAATGAGTCTCCCTCAAAATTGGTTTGACTAATACCAAATGGAAGTTTACCACCAGCAAATGTCCAGGTCACTTTTGGTGTTGGAACACCTGAGGCATGGCAAGTAAAGTTGACAGGGTCTCCATCGATAACAGATTGCTTTACTGGAGACAATAGAATCTGAGGAGACACTACAAATAAAAAAAAAAGACCAATAATAGTCAACCAAGGTTACCAACTGAAGATAAAATTGGACAACCAGTCCTGGTCATTTTGCAGTACTGGTTAAATGTGAGATCAGATTTTAGAATCCACTCATTACATGTATTAATTTTTATGGGATAAGAGACATTACCTTGAATTCATACTGTGCATGAGAATGGATAGAATTAAGATATCACATTTCTACTTTGTAAGTTTCCCTACCCCCAAAAGATATGATTTACATGAGAATATTACTCGTTATCAACATAATTAAGGTGACTTTCCATTCCTTTTCTAAATATCAATATTAGTGAGGTATTCAAATCAAAGACAAAATGAATACATTGGGCTTGTGGAAATTCTATTTACAAATATTCAACACAAAATTAAAGCAAGCAGGTATTTAAGTTTCTTCACATTCCAAAGTTATCCAGTTTCTTCCTGTCAAGCCAAATGCAGTTCCAGAAAGGTTGATAACCATTCAAAATGCTGAGGCTAATTGGAATTTGACTTACCAGTTACATCAATCCAGAAGGTGGTGTCATTTTTTCCAGCCACATTTTCAGCAGCACATTTATAGATACCTTCATCATCAAAAGTCACCCACTTAATGACTAATGTGTTGTTGTTACCAAGAGCTTCTCCATTCTTGGTCCAATTGACAGATACTGGAGGATCACCCCTTACATAACAAGTTGATGTAAATGTGGAGTTCAGTGGAACTGAATGATTCTTGAGGTCAGGACTTAAATGTGGTGGAACTACAGAATGAAATTAAAAATAAAATTAAGTTATGACAAAAATTACCTAATAATCTTCACGGACTTTTTGATTTGGTTATGACCCATTGCTCTCGCCCACGACTACCCAAATGGCAGCTGGGTAATATGACTCAGCTATAGGAAACTACATCTTGGAAACAGGGACCTAACGTCTCAGTTTGTCAAATTGCTAGAAAATTTTTTTTGGAACCTGTGAAATGGCAAACCAGTAGATATTCCTCGCTCATGTATCAAGCTCCTGAAATTAATTACTAACCCCTAACAATTTGTCCTCAGAGTCGTTACACAAATGATTTTGCACAGCTATAATCAGCAGTACACATTTATTATTTCCATTCGGAATTTGAGGTTTAAAAGTTTTATTTCAACAACAGTAATTTTTTATGGGATAATCTTCACAGGGAGTTACATTGCAAGTACTGTTACCCGCGACAGACTCTTTGATCTAAATAAGATATATGATACCTTCTCGGGGAGTTAGAATGCAAATATTGTCACGGCACTCTTTGAACTTAACTTGAGAATAATGGGAATTAAGCCAAGAGAGTTTCCCAGCTCACAAATCAAGCTCCTCATGTTAATTATTACCCCTTCTCAAATGGTTAAGCTTTCTTAACCGTTTTCTTGACAGTTCAAGAACACTTCTGGGTGGAGAGACAGTCACCATGCTTGAGTGAAGACTGTCACCTCAAGGATATTGCAAAGTTATACCTTGCACGGTTAACCAGTACTACAAACACACTGTATGTACTATCATAATGTAGATTTGGAGTTTTTAAATTTAAAAGTTAATTTATGTTGACAAATGTGGACATGTTAACCGAATGGAGAGCAGTATGTATGAATGTATAGGTACTGTTGCCTCACTCAAGAAAACAACACAATCATACTTACCATGCCTTGAACCCATGCAGAGATATCAATCCAGAATCCAACAGGCCACAGTCTATTCAATAAAATGATGGAAATGCAGTTTTAAACCTAAAAACTTACCTTTAACTGTAATATAAATATTTCCAGTGGAACTGCCTCCACTATTTTTTACTTCACAGCTGTACAGTCCCGCATCTTCCTTTTTTATATTATTGAGGGAGAGAAACTTGGTGTTTCCTTTCAATGTGTTATTCTTGAGCCAGGTTATCTGTGGCTGAGGCTGACCTTGAATGATTTTACAAGTCAAAGTCACATTGTCTCCTTCTCTGATGAGATTGCTTGCTCCTGAAACACTCACCTCTGGTCGAACTTTGAATAAACAAGTAAAAAAGTTAAAACAAATTGGCATGGTCATACACACATAACATAACTCTCCTAGAAGGCAATTATCTTTTAGGTTACTACTATCAATCTACAAAATGGACAATGCAATTTGACATGACTAATTTGAATAACCAGATGAAGTTAATTTTTCAGACAGCTAAAAACAATAAATGCATGGATTACATAAAATGACCTTACAGGAATTTATACAATATATATATGGCATCATCAGGGAAAAGAAAATATTCCTGATGATGCTGTTGATCGGGGAAAGCTCGGATTTTTAAAACATTTTACTTTTTAAAAAAATCTTCCCTGATCATGCCATTGATTGGCAAAAGCTCGGATTTTTAGACATTTTACTTTCTACAGCAGTATAAGGCTAATATTTGATTAATTTGTATATATTTCAACATTGTTGCTGAAGGACAACAAGAACAGATTATTGACCTTACAGGATTGCATATTGGCAAAAATTAAAGACCTTACACACACACAAAAAAAGAACAATGCCAAAGATTGTTTTAAACCTCAATAAACTAAATGAAGAACCCATTTTATCAACAGCATCTACATGTTGTAACTGCACTACTTTAGGGACTAAATTCTCAATTTTTAAGACAGGTAGAATGGTGTAATGGTGTAATTAACAAACTATAGTTTTTAGATTTTGCCAACACTTCACTTACCTATAACAGACACAAGTATGTTCTTATGTGTGCTTGTGACCCTATTTGGTCCTTTGTTCTGTTTCATGGTACAAATGTATGTTCCATTGTCTTCAGGTTGAACAGGATCAATGCGTAGACTGCCACTGGGAATTTGAGAAAATCTTCCCCCATATAGCAATAAATTTCTTCCTTGTTTGCTCCAAATTATCAGTGGAGGTGGTTTCCCTTCAGCACTACAGTTTATAATTCCAAACATGTCTGTAATAAGGCTCTGCTCACCTTGAGTGTTTTCAGTGAATCTTGCTGTTGCAATAAACAATGAGGACAACCACTTAGCAAAAGTGTAGCTGCATTGAAGAAATATCGCCTAGTCTGTACTTTGTCTATATGCTGAATGCTGGTCACATTTACTGTACAGTCACATAAACATATACTCTAAAATTAAGGCCTTCTCAGTATGTTGAAAACAATTTACCTACCATTAATGTAAACTGTGTAATACTGAACATATTCCAATCTGTGGCATTCATATGTTCCTCCATCAGACAATTGCACATTTTCTATGACCAGCTCACCATCTTTTTTGGTCTTGACCCTCTCAGAAGGAGAAGTTCGATTTTGCATCTTTTTACCATTAATAATCCACATTGCAAAACTGGTTTTGTTAAGTATTGAGCAGTGAAGATTTTCATTGCTACCAATATCAAAGAAAAGTTCCTTTTTCCCCATTACTTGTTTGTTCTCTGAAAGAAATTTTTTCAAATAGAACAATAATAAGTTCATTCTGTTTCAACTTTTTGGTACTAACTAGCCATAGATTGCAAAACTATTAGTATCTTAACCCTTGTTGCAAATGCTGTAAACAAGTAACTGGTCATGTTCAGGAAATTTTATCTGGGCATTATAAATACCTAACTTACTTGGTTGACACAGTGCTTGAGAACCTTTGCCATCTCCTTGACATTGACCTGGCACATGTAACTTTCCATCAGAGCGAGTGCAAGATGCAAGTTCTACCTCATTTCCAGTGCAAGAAACATCAAACATTACAGTAGTAATGTTCTCACCCTCTACGTCTGAGCCAATGAATTCAGCAAGAGCCTCTTCAAAGCCAAGTTGACGACAAATAACTTTGACATCATTGAAATCCCATCCATTGGCACATATTTTCCCCCATTTCCCTTTGTAAAATACTTCCACTCTTCCACCATACTCTACATTTGCACCATTCAAGCGAACAGGAACTTATAAAGTCACAAAATATTGAGNTAGGCAGTTGTCTGGGTATCATCTTTGGGTCTTTATTTACATCTTCAGTTACAATTTAAATTAATCCTACAAAACAGTCAAATTTTCTTCCTTTGTGATATTTTTAACAGTAAGAGCAATCTTTGTGAAAAAGGCTACTACATTATTACTGATCAAAGCAAGAAAGAATGTTTTAGTGAGGTCTATCACCTCAAATATTGATCAAGTCTATAAGGGTACCATGCAACTAGAATGGGACGTAGAAGACTGAAGCAGATCTGCATGACTACAGAGTCCAAAATGCATAATTGATCATTACCTTTGCACAATTGCAATTTGTTTGAGAAGTGTTCTCCACATTTTGTCAGAATGGTGGTGCAGTTGTAGTTAATAGATGTCTCTGATTCATTGTCACTGTCTTCATACCATCTTCCATAGTAACTGCTGTTAGAGTATCCCATTGCCATGCACATCAAATCTTCTTCAGCTTTATTCCAGTTACTGATGCAAAGCTTTTGCCAGCTGCTGTTTGTGTAGATTTCCATTGTGCCAACTGATGGGTTCCCCTCCGTTGTAAAGCGCAGTGGAAATTCTGATGGAAGAAATAACACAAAATTGCAAGTCTGTTTTAAATAGCCTTCTTAATTCATTCTACATGTTTTAATTGTTATGCGAATGATTCCCTTAGATAGGCACCCAGTTTCAAATGAATTCCAATTCTAGGTGTAAATGTCTAGAAACATAATCACTAGCCCAAGGCAAAAACATATTAATTTATACTGCTAGCATCAGATATTATATATTTCAACAAGAAACTGAATACTTAAACTGAATATTAATTTATACTGCTAGCATCAGACGTTATATATTTCAACAAGAAACAGAATATTTAAGAAGTAATTTTCAAGAAAATTTAGTGGTAAATGACACCAAATAAAAATAGTACAAACATTTGCAAGTATAATGTATGGGATTGGATGCTAATTAAGACAAAATAATGAAGATGATGATCCTGATGAAAATAATAGGTGTGAGAATGATAATGATAACATTAATAATGACTAGAACTTAAATATTCAAGTGTCAATGTAATGTTCATGATAATTTTGGAAAAGGTGAATCTATTATCAAGTAACTTAAAAGGCAAAGGCTTTTAAAGAAGTTAACCATTAAATATGGGGTTCAACAAAGATGACACTCTGATGTCTGTATTTCCATAAATATTGCACCATATAATTACAATTCACACACACTAATTTAACTATCTGTATGAGTTACCTTCACGGCAGCTGGACGTGTTGTTACATTGTCTCACAACTGCTCTGCTCCCATCACAGTTTTCCCCGCCATATGCTGGTTCTGGATTAGAACATTCTCTAAACCTTATCTGTATGCCACTGACTGTTTTAGAGCAGATACTCCAAGCACTCCACTCATTCCAACTACCATTGACTGACAATGTTTCAATAACAAGCAGATGAGAAACAACTCCCAACTTTGCCTCCGGAAGAAGACACTAGTGATCCCTTTGTTTTCCGAAATTACGATTTATTACTTTGCCTAGTCAACATTTTCATTCTCATACATTAAAGAGCAGGAAAAAATTTAAAAAAACTTGAGACATATATCACTGAACAAATGTCATGTAAATTATTTTCTCTGCCTCACGGTTAATACGTTTTTTTAATTGTTACAAGATTGTTGGTAATTTTTAGTTTCCTATTTCAGGGCTTCTGATAGAACTTCAGAATACCCAGCCACTCATTTCCATATCACTGAATAAGAATAGCATCTATTGTGTTATGCCTCTTTCTTCAAAGCCTCACGACATATGTAAATGAGGTGGACAGGTTTTCTGAAGTTGCTCCGAGCGTGATGTTGCGATTTCGCACAATCGACCTCAAATTGCAAGTGACTGCACAACTCATGAAAAATTGCATAATTCAAAGAAAATTGCCAAAATATGATAAATTATTACTTTGTCTCAAAAAATCCCGGCAAGAGTACCACATAACTCCGTACATTAATTATGCATTCAGTCTTTGTTCAACTAAAACAATAGCGATAACAATAGAACTCCGTAGAGACTAGCAGTCTTTGTCGATGTCTGGGGTCTGGCACTAATTTGGGTCTGGCACTATTGGACCTGGCAGCCATGGTCTGGGTCAGGTAAGCCAACCTAGACCTTGGCCACATGTCCACTATAGCATCCTGGTCGAAGCGCATGCGCTAAGAAAGGGTTAAAGAGCAATTTATCTGCACAAGTTCAGAAAGAAGATGTAGAAGATGGCTTTCATGTCTTCCAAAAAGTGAAAAAGATGTTTTAAAATATCTCAGAAAAAAATCGCACAATTTGCTAAAAAAATCACACAATTCACATTGTTTTATTGCACCCTATCAGAAGGCCTGTCATTTTCTTTTCTTAAGAAGCCTAAAACTTTTCATCGTATCCCACATGTTTATGGCATTTTTATTCTGTTTAAAAGCAGAAAAAATGAAAAAAAAAAATTAAACATAAATGATTGTAGAAATGCCACATAAATTATCACTTCTGGTTGGGTTAATATATGCCTTTTAACTTGCAACAAGAATGCTGGTAATTTTTGGTTCCTCGTTTAATCCTTGAATTTTTATAAAGCTTAAAACTTTCCACTCTATGGTTATTTTGCAGATGGGAGATATGAAACACTGATTATTGACTATCACCCAGACAGTTATGTGTTGCAACTTTAGTACATTAGAGTAGGTCCTTGGCAATCCCTTCCACCCCAAGAATTAGAGAGGGACTGGTGCACACTTGTCTTCATAATCTACCCTCCACAAGTTACATTGCAACTCTCCCATGCTACCCAGGATGACCAGCCATCATGAACTATCATGGTATCAGAGGTTAACACAATCAACTGATATGCATAATGCTAATTCACTCAGGTGTTAAATAAGAATATTAGGTAAGAAAGGAACTTTATCAACATATGGTGAAAAACATTGCAGCAATATACTGAACATCAATATCTAGAAAGTCATGTAAATTGGCTAAAAAGGGGATGGAGCACCTGAACCTGAAATATTAGTGCTCATAAAGATAACAGATGGCTGGTATAACACTGATTACTCACTCTTACCTGGACAAGGATTTGTGTTGCAAGGTTGGTTCATGCGCCTAAGTCCTTGGCAATCCTCTCCAGGCCACTCTCGCGGTGGATTGGTACAGCTGCGATATCGTCTCTGCGATCCACCACCACAAGTTACACTGCACCTCCCCCATGACCCCCATGAGGACCAACCACCATCAACTATCATCAAATTAATTAACATGATTAACAGTTTAACATGACTATACCACTTGTCCTTTTAACTTTGCAACC